AGTCAAAATAATTCAGTTTAAAGTATTACCCGTCTGTCAATTGAATAGACGATAGTCATCTTGTACTTTAGGCTCCATAAATCAACGTAAACATGTCCCTATATGATGTTGCACTGTCTGAGCCTGAACAGCCATCAATTATTCAATGATGACGGTCTCTGTGTTCAACTTTACTTGTTATCTTTGTTTTTTTAATTATTTTTCCATCCTGTGACTTAGTTGCGACGGAGTAGATGGACAATCGGGCTAGACATTAAAGGTTTGAGGAACGTGCCCGTCTAGTCTAGACATGGGTACAGGACGCTTCTTGTCATGGTAACTAGTCATGACTAGAGGCNTTTAGTCTACGTTGCACTTTCATAAACCCTTAAAGGGTTTATTATTCTACCCTTTTTTTTTACAGTGTAGTCATGTTACCCCGTCCTCCCCATTTGTTTGCTCGCCTGGGTGAGCCTATATGAGACCTTGACGTTGGAGAGCTTTCAGGTCAAAGCTCAAAACCTTGATTTCATGCGTCAAATGAGGCTATGAAAGTTTATTATATTGAAAAGCCAATATCTTGACCAAATCGCAGCTCATGTCCATGCAATCATGAGTTTTTCTCAATCTATGCTTTCTATATTTGTAGACAAAACTTCAGTCCATAGCTTTTTATTATCTGGAACAGCTCCGTCGTAGTCCAAAAAGTTTAAAAAATTTACACACCTGCTGGAAAGAAATATGGTTTTCCACCACGGTCCAAGCAACCAGACCAGTATACTGCATGTGCACACGGTAGCGCAGCATTCATGTACACACGATTCCATTTTTCATTCATTTTCGCTTCCCGCACATTTTCATTCTCATTCATAAAATGACCCAACGATACTGATTTGACATGCGTTTGCAAGCCAGATGACATAGCATTACATATCTGGCGATTGTCATTCACGACTAACTGTTCAGCAACAGTATGCCCGTGGGGCGGAATAACAACACAGTAGACCAGTGTACTGCCTCGCTTGATCTTTTCCATAAGAAGAGCTGTAGTAGGAATTCGAACACATTGGCAAAACACAATTTTTAAGCGTTGAAAATTCACTTCAAGATTTCGATTGTATTCATCAAAATCAGTAGCGAGATCAATGCACAATGTCAATGGATGATCTAGAAAAAAATCAACTGGGTCACGTTAGATTACTGGGATTAGAGTACGTTATAAATTGAATTACTTGAACAGAAAATTCTTTGAAAATCGAAGCACCCAGGGTTCCCAGATCTTCCCGAATTTTGAAAGTTTTTCCATATTTCGGACACTTTTTAGTTGAATTATATTTCACTTCTTTTTTAACACTAAATGATTGGATAGAGGTCTAGTATTTTCTGCTAGTGGCCTATGTAAAAGACCAATGATTTTCATTTTTCTTTCATAAGACATTTAGAATAATGATAATTTGTATATGAGACCTGATCAATTGTGAGCGATGCTTTTGTATCCTAAATCTACGTCTTCTTCTAATCTACACTAATTCATTTCTTTTTTTTATTCTCAGTTCCCTGCAGTAATGCTTATGTCGAAAGTGGTTTTTTTCGATAGTGAAACATTTATATGATGATCAACGAAATCGCATGCCAACAGAACTCATTGCAGGTGAATTAAAAATTCTTTTAAATTCATCTTTATCGTGTACAGAAATTTATGATTTTCTCTCGTCAAAACCAGAACTATTGAAAGTTATTCATTCTAATGAAAAATGTTCTGCAAAAAAACAACGTGTAAATTAACAGTGGAAATGTAACTCATAATTGATAATTTCTATTTCATTTAGTTAACGATGTTTTAATATGTATTTTCTTTTATTTCATTTAAATACATTTTGTAGAAATAAAGAATAGCGTTATTGATAATCTGGTCAAGACAAACGCACTTTAAGTGGTGAGAAACGACCCTCGAAAATCTTTCCGGTTTTTTCCCTGATTTCCGAAAAAAATTCCGGGATTTTCCGGATTTTCGAGTTTCACATCTGGCAACCCTGGAAACACCCCAAAGCAAAACATATTTACACAAAGACTCAAACTGCAGCTTGGCATGTAGCATATCTACTGTGAATAGATATAGTGTAAATTGCTTACTTTTTAAATTGTCAAAATTGCCAATTCGAACAGGTTCCGACCGATCAATATCCCACTCATTTTTTACTTTGATAGCATATCTCTTTTCTAAAATATTCGAAAGTTAAACATAGTTGCACAAAGTCCCAAATCGCAGCCTGGTTTGCAACATATCTACTGCGAATCAGTATAGTGTAAATTGCTTACTTTCTGACCCCTCAAAATAGTCAGTTTTAGAAGGTTCCCGCTCCTCCTCATACACCGCGTTTTTTTTTTTTTCATCATACATCTTCTCCTGTTTTCGTAAAACATCGACATTAGGATTCAGTGCAGCAGAGTACATCTGTTTTTCATAGTTTGTTCCAATAGCTAGACTTGTTACTGTCGTTCTTAATGCTTCAACGCGCTGCTGATTATACGATAAATCCATTGCCAGTTGTCTCTGTAATCGACCTCTCTCATTGTCATCATGTGTGGAGGCAATTCGGTTGTAATACGTTTCCAATTTTCTCTCATTTTCGTCGGCAATGTTGCTGTGAACTTGTTGAACGAACTGCGTCAGACAAAAAGCTAAATCGGAATTCATTTTCACTCAGATCTAAAACACAGAATGAAAAGTGAGTGTGCGGTGGAGTACGGGTGCGAGTGAAGCAAAATTAGTACATAATCCGCACTTTGGAAGCCAGTGCGAACATTAAGTCCATCGCAAACAGCCGTTTAATTCGCACTGGACGGCCGCAACTACTATACTTACGACCGTAAACAGGCTGTAAATCACCCGTTTTCTAGCGACAGTACTAGGGCCTTAACCCGTCGTGACATAAACGGCATGTAACAAACGCCATATACGATGAAACCTGTTACGTAATACGGTCGTATGTAGCCGCATACAGCCGTGAATCGTGACATTTCCTGTCGTATTTTACCCTGAACTGCCGTTTCACATTCAAACACACAAGAATCAACGAAAAGGACCGTTCCTCAACAGGTCTTTAAACCCCCTTCAAAAGTCCATTTACATCATTACTATTCCGCCCCAAGAAACCCTTTTTTCCTCATCGCCGCATCCCTCAAAAGGCCTTCCGCATACAGAAAAAGGGCTTTTTAGGAGGCATCCTAATGACGAAAAGAAGGCCTTTCACTTCGAAAAATCGCCTTTACAATCGAAAAAAGGTCTTATTCATCGTGAGGATCATTCCCGAAAAGGCCGTCTTCATCGATCTCACTTGTGTAGGCTCATGCACAC